GTACAACATTGAATGCAGAATAGTCCATCTAATTGCCAAAATCTGCTAACCTTATATTTCATAAATTGCACTGACATGGAGCAGCAACAAATTCATCAACAACTGATAAAAAAAACAGATGAAACAAACCTGACAGCTGTCTGCTAAACTAAGTCAACTGGCTGTTTGTGTGATCAGATTTGTAAATTTGCAAATAAGTTTCAGTTACTTTGTTTTCATGTGTAACTTTTGCTACACTTCTGCCATGGTGGATCAGCAAATGTGTGAGGAGAGTTGTTTGTAAATAAGTTAAGTCAGTGCATTAGGCCTGAGCTCAGGCTCACAAACTCAGGCATTCTCTCAGGCTGTACCTGTACCATAAATTACAGAGTACTTACCACTAGATGGCGCAGTACTCAGCAATTTAAGTGTGAAATTGGTAGCAGTGGTTGTGCTGATACAAGGCCGGCTCAGTTGTTCCAGACTACAATGGATTATCATGTGCTTGCTGTAAGTTTGTGAGTTACTCCCTCTGTGAGTGTCTCACAGGACCTTAATTAGGTTACTTAATTAGTTGTTTCCTTTTTCCACACTAAGCAGCAGAAAGATCTGAGATTTTCTGAGTTCTTTGTATATTTATGCATTTGCACACTCCTCCAAAAACACATGCACGTGTGCACATTCACACACAGACAACTTCAACCCTCATATACAGTATAAGGTTACATAGTTAATATGTGTTAAATTACATGTTAACACCTGCAACCAAAATGGTTTTATTAATCTTTCTATGTTTCTATTTTTTTTTTCGCTTTCTGTATTTTTGCTGCTTCGTTGTCGATACCTTGTTAATACCTTTATACCTATTTCACACCTCCTACATCAACACTGTTGCGTAAGAAAAAGATGCTCACACAATGGTATAGAAATGGGAATTTAAAAAGCACACACAAATGTTGAAAGGCCATTCAACGTTCTAGCTTTAAAATGACCATTTAAAAATTTTTGTAAACATGATTTTTATACTGGTTTAATACTGTCATATATTTTAGGGAGGCAGACCCATTCATTAGCATTAGCAAACTCATCTCTTTGTCAACCCATCACTATTTCATACAAGCATGTAACAAGTGAGGCATTTTAAATGCTTCATTAGAGGAAAGCACAAGTTAATACAGAGAAAAGTGTTTTCTGTAAATTTATCCCCAGATAAACCTGAGTAACATCATAAGATAATGTATCTGTGGTTAATCAAGCAGCAGGTCAGAGTCCTCAGTCCCACACAGCCTTGTGACCTACATGACTCAGTCTCTTTCTAATCTCCACATCCTGTGGATGTCAAATGATGCAGGTCAGCAGAAGAAGTTCTCGGCCAGCTTCCTCATTCTTTTATTGTCAGTGGCCTTAAGGGGACGTGTAGGAACTGAATGAGATCGCTCTTCATCTTCAGGTTGCTCCTCTGTGATGGTGGCC